AAAAATTGTGATTCTCTAATAGTTTCGCTAAATTTTTGCAATTCTCTTAAAGAATTTGCAAATTTTTGCAATTCTCTTAAAGAATTTGCAAATTTTTGCGATTTTCTAAGAGTTTTACAATATTTTTGCAAAATTCAAAGAGAAATCACAATTTTTTGTAATATTCTAAGAGTTTTGTGATATTTTTGCGAAATTTGACAAGGAATCACAAATTTTGTGATTTTTCAAGAGTTTTGCATATAATCAAACTAAATTTTTAGATTATCAGTTTAATTCAAATTTTTTTCAGTTTAGATTAAAATTATAATCTAAAAAAAATCTGAACTGAACTGAAAATTTTTAGATTGATTTTTATGTAATCTGAAACTAATCTGAACTGAACTGTTCTGAAAAATCTTCAGATTAATCTAAACTATTTGAAGCTTTAATTTTAACATCATAATAATTAGAGTGACTATCTTTTGTAAATACAGCATTTTTCCTATTAGTAAATAGATTGATTAATTATGACATACATCTTTATAGAACCTTAATTATTTTAAGAGTGAGCTTAATAATATTTATATTAACTCTATTATAAGCCTTTGAAAGATCCTGTAAAAGAATTCAGAGATCTTTTTTGTTGTCATTTACATTTTTTATAATCATATTTATTATCTTGATTAGATTCTCAATAGAGCTTCCAGATAATCCTGCATAATTATTACCTTTAAGAATATTATATTTAGCTAAAGTTTTGATAAATAATTTGTGATAATTTTAACAAAAGCTTTTCTTGTAATTTTCAATAAAGTAATAGGATGGATTTTAAAAATATTACATTCCTAACCTACAGATTTGAGAATTAGATAAATGTGTATATATTTCCATTCTGATGGAATGTTACTGAGTATAAAACACATTTTAATTAGATGTTAGAATAAGTTTTGTAAATTTGGTTTAAATGTTTTATAAATTTATTATGTATATCTAATGGTTTAATTGTCTTATCATTTAGAAGTTAGAAGATAACAAATAATCATTCATTTATAGTAGAGGGTTATATCAGGTTATTATACTAAGATTCCTTTATATCTTCTATAAAATGATATTGATTAGTCCATTTGCCAAAGAGAGAAATAGCAGGAAAATCAAGTATTGTATAATTCTAAAAATGAATATTCATATAATGTTTAATTAATGTAGGATCATTAATTAAGGTTTATTAGTCATTTCTTTCTTTAATTATGAGGTGATCTAAAACTAGAGTCTTAGACAAATTAAGTTAACTCACAAGTCAGATAATTCAAATTAAATTTAAATCAAATTGAGTTTATATTTTTTGACTTGATGATTTGTGAGTCAAATCGAGTTCAAGTTGAGTTAAATATTTAACTCAACTTGATTTAAACTTGACTTAAACTCAACTTGACTCAAGTTGACTTGAAATAATATTATTAATAAATTAATTTTTTAAAACTATAAAATTATACATTATAAAAATTAAAATACTTTATAATAGTTGAAAATTTAAATTTATTTAATTTTATATTTTAAACGTTTTGGATAAGATTTTAAATATAGAAAAAGTGTCTAAAACTATTCAAAATATGTTTAAAACTGTTTAAAATTATTTAAAATTATCTAATTGTCTAACACTGATTTAAATTATTAATTTTAAATTTCATTATAAAATAATTTCTTAAATAATAAACTATCAAAAATCTATTTTTAGAACATTTAAATTAAAATATTCTAAAAGAGCAAATTTTAATAAAATGATATAACTGCATTTAATCTCTATTACAATATCTATTTTACTCAAAACTAAATTTTCACCTTCAAAATTCCAAAAATAATTATTACACAAAATGTAAATTTACAATTATTATTATCTTTATGGAATCAGTAACGACTTGTTTTATTAAATTTAATTTATCATTTTTTCTAATATACTTAAATTTATGACAAAACTTTTAAAAAATGATAAATTAGTTTTAATATCTGAAAATTTTATATTAAAATTATCATATAATTCAAGAAAATTAATTTTAATTAAATTTTTAATTAAATATTTTAAATCTATAATCAATGAAAATAATATATTGTTTAAATGAAGATAAGATTCAAATGTTTTTTCAGATTTTAATACTTCTCAAAAAATTTTTTTTTTCAACATCTATTATCATATCAAATTTTATATTATTTTTAAAATAATTATATAGATCATTACTTTTCTTTTAATTTATTTAAAATTAAAGAATATAATTATATATAAATTTAGCTGTATGACAATTTTTTTTTCAATAATAGGTAATATGTAATTATTATGTTCTCTTATTATTGTGCAACTTTCATATATTGTATATGTATAATGTGAATTTTTATCATTGAAAAATGAATCTTTAATTATATTTTTAAATTATTTGTAATATAATTAATTCAGTGTTAAGTTTTTTAAATATTTAATTTCTTTTATCTGAAAAGAAACTTTTTTATCAAAAAAGATTTTGATAATTAAACTTAATACATATAATTCATTATCTATGAATTGATAAATAAAACTATTTTTTGTGTTATTATTTATCTTAAAATAATTATTGATAGGATATTTTTTAATATTATTATTATATTTTGAAAAATAAATTTTGTAATCCTTTTATATTATTTTCTATGTTTAAAAGAATTACAAAACCAATATCTAATTTTTTAATTTTTTGTTCATATTTTTTTTATTGTTTTTTGATCACTTTTATCTGTAATAACAGATGTAAAGGTAGAAATAGGTGCAAAGGTAAAAGTAGAGTTTGAGGTTAAGGTAGATATAGAGGTATAGGTAGAGGCAGAGGCAGAGGCAAATGCAGAAGTAGAGGTAGAGACAAAAATAGAAGTAAAAAGCTCACTTAAATTACCATTATTACACGATGATATTATTTTCATTTGTTTATTAAGTAAAGGATCTGTTAAAAGGTATAAATGATTTGGAATTACTCTTGCTTTTGTTAAAGCTAAAGAAGATTTATTTTTTTTTAAATTCCAATTAATTGAGTAGTCATAATGTTGGATTTCTAAAAAAAAAAAATTGTTTTAAAAAAAAAAATTACAAATTTACAGCTTTATCTCACTATAAATTGTATTAAGAAAAGAAAAAAATAAATAAATACAAAAACTTCTTCTTTGACACCATTAACTCCTCAATATGATCCTCCCATCTCTTCCTCTGCTCGTTATTCTTATACTCTTCATAACACTCAAGCTCGTTTAATCTCTTCTAATTCTTTTTCGACCTTTTCAATTGTCACCGGTGATTAAATGCTAAATTAAGCGAATTTTATTGGTTATAAACTTACAAATTATGATTCATAATTTGACAACCGCAGTAATCCGAATATCGGCATGATTCGGTTAAAATTCTCAATAATGACTAATCCAATTAAATGTTTTCATTGTTAAATGAAATTTTCATATGCTTTTTATCAATTTCCCACGAACAGGCTTAGGAAAATAAAACTATATAAAGAGGATTAAGGAAATTATAATTCCTACAAAAAAAAATAAAAAAGGTAATTACAAAGATGTTTCGTTCGGGTCTTCGAATAACAACTTGCACCCAACGAGTTTTATATAATGCTGGCTATTATCAATCAAACTTACCACAATCATTCATTAAATCATTCGCGATTAACGCGCGATATTTCACATCATCTCAACCGATGCGGTCATCCGCGATATACGGCTCAACACCCATAACCGGAAAAGATACTAATGTCTTAAATCAAATTCCCGAAGAATTATTATTATATACTCATCATCCAAAACCTGTTCGTCATGAAATTCTTGAATCAAATGCTCCTTTAAAAACCAAAGATTTAGAGAATCTTGACGTTAAAGTTGGTTTACATCGTGAGCCAGTTACTTGGAGTGATAAACTGGCCTTTAAAATCGTTAAATTATTAAGAGTTCCTTCTGATTGGTTCTTTAAGAAGAAATATGTTCATCGTGCTGTTATGTTGGAAACTGTAAGTATGATTTACTAGTTATGAATTACGGTTAAGGAAGAAGTTCCAGTTAAAACGTGAATTTTTTTAGGTTGCTGCGGTTCCTGGCATGGTTGGAGGTACAATTCGACATCTTCGTTCTCTAAGAAAATTGCAACATGATGGCGGTTGGATAGATCATTTGCTTCACGAAGCCGAAAACGAACGGTAAATTGTATCTTTTTATTACAAAAAACAAATTTATTCTCTTATTCGTATTTCCCCTTCTTTTGAATCATTAGCATGCATTTGATGACATGGATGCGTATCTCGAAACCTAAAATGTGGGAAAGAGGTTTAATCACCATCATACAAGGTGTATTTTATAATGCGTTCTTTGCATTATATTTACTTAGTCCGAAAACTGCTCATCGTGTAGTCGGCTACCTTGAAGAAGAAGCCATCGTATCTTACACTTCCTTTTTAAAAGGTAAACGAGTACCTTTATTTTCTGAATTCCTTGAAAAAAGAGAAAAATAAGCTTATTAATCCCACCCTTCGTTGCTAGAAATTGAAAATGGACACATTGAAAATACCAAAAATATTCCAGACCTCGCCATTGATTATTGGCATCTAGATAAAGATACTGCGACACTAAAAGACCTGGTTCTAGCAGTTAGAGCAGACGAAGCCACACATCGTGATACTAATCATCATTTTGCTGATAGAATTATCCTTGGCAATGAAGACTTGAGAGATGATATCAAACGAATTTTCGACAAATCTGAGAGTAAAAAAGTTAAAAAGATAGCTGGTTTGAGTCAAGATGCCTCTGAAAAATGGAAATGGAATTATTAAAGGTTGATGATGCCTTTACATAAAGGGTTTAATAATTATTTTACTAAAATCTTGTACACTATATTACATTTGAATTCTGTCCATAGGTTTATCATTATTATGATTAGATCGTCATTTATTAAGAGATACAAAATTATTTTTTTTTTGTTTTGTGAAATTATAATAAATATAATCTAAATTTACATTTCATGTTGAGTTAATAACAGATTTAACGGCTCTTTTTACACCTTCTTCTAAATCCACAAGAGGTTCATAACCCAACCTACTTTTAGCCTTATTGATATTAAAATATCTATTCGTCGTAGTAAATTTCACACGAAATCTGGTAAATCCAGGTTCTTTACCGGTTACATTACTCGATAATTCAGTTAATGAAGCAATAATAACTGCAAAGAATTTCGGAAATTTTATATAATATGACGGAAAATGATTGAATTGCGCCCAAATAAATCTACCTAGATCCCAAAATGGAAGTGGCGTTCCATTTGTTATAAAGAAGGCCTACAAGAGGAGAATTATTTTTTTTTTTTTTTTAGTAAATAAATGAAACATATTGTCCAAGGAAAGATGTTATATACTTACTTCTCCTGCTGTTTGATTTTCTTTTGATAATTTATCAACAGCTAAAACATGTGCGTAAGCACAATTTTCTACATATGTCCAATCTACAAAATTTTCATTATCTCCTATCTGAAATTTTGATTGTCCTTGTTCCATCACTTTAATAAAACCTGGAATCGCTTGCATATCATTTGGTCTAAATAATGTTTTGAATTATTATTATTATTATTATTATTATTGCATAAATATTTAATGAATCTGTATTTTTACCCGAAAATACCACAAGGACGAAGGGCGCAAGTTAATAAACCATTCCTTCCATTTGCTTCTAATACAAGTTTTTCTCCTGCTGCCTGCAAAATAATTTTTTTTTTTTTTTTAAAAAAAAAAAAGGTTTAAAAGTTCAAATGGGATAAGTTACCTTGGTTTCATTATAAACATTCATATGTTTTTTAGGGAAAGGAGCAGTTTCATCAACATTAATCAATTCGGAGAAACCATCGTAGACAACACTAGAACTGCTAGTGTAAACTAATTTCTTAACACCAAAGTTCAAACAGGCCTCAATAACATTTTTAGTTCCCTCAACATTAACTTTCCAAAATAATTCTTCATATTTACAATCATGAGATGGTGAAGCCGTGTGAATTACGGATGTAATATTCTCTTTTTCTATACATTTACTAATATCATCATAATTTGATAAATCTCCTTTATAATGTTTAATTTCTTCGTCAAAATATTTTTGAATTAAATCAAATACTATTATCGATCGTTCCCCTCTTTTCCTTAACATTTCTACTATCCATCTACCCACAAATCCATCTCCTCCGATTATCAAATAATTTTCTACCATATAGACGTATAAGTGTTCGATAAAGGTGAACTTTCAAAAAAAAAAAATATATTTTTTTTTATTAAATGGAAATTCTTGTGGAACGGATTACAAACCCATTTGATCAATTGTACTAAAACTAACTTGGATTCGCATGTGATATCTTATTAACTAATAATGACGTTGTCGTTACGTTTGAGAATAATTAATTATCTATATAAATACTGTAGGCATTATTTTCAACCGAATAAATGAGATAAATTCTTTATTTCATCAATAACGCTTATTGCTTTTAAATTTTTTTCCCTTTACTTTAAAGATGTCAAATAAACCAGTTCCACCACTTCCCAAAAACGATGATTCTTTAAAAAAAAATTCTTCATTAAATGAAAAAGATGAAAAAAAAGAATCGAATAATTCTCCACAAAAAGTAGCTACAAGCAATCACCCGCACCTTACAGCTGTTAAAGAGGTCGTTTCTAATGCCGTACATAACACAGCTCAAGCTTTAAAGATTGAACCAAAAGAAAGTCATCCTGAGGCTTACCATCAAGATGGTAAAACTAATCCTGAATGAAATATTCAAGTCGAAAGCGATTTGTCCGTCACGTAGCATACGTACCATTATCACATAAATCGTTTCTTTATAATCGATTTCATTATTATTTTTTTATAACGAACCATTGAATGGTTGAATTTTCCTTTGCCATATTTGATATAACACAATTGTTGAATTTTAAATAACGTTAATTTTAAACCTCCGAAAAAACATGCCTTTAAAGACCGAAGGGAATGTTCTAATTAATTAATTAAAACAAATAAAATCGGAACTAATAAAAAAAATATTTAAAAAATTAAAAAAATAAAATAGAAATGATTTCGATAATCCGTAATCCACTCTAATTGGTTGACCATCGTGTTACAGAATTTTTTTTGAAATTTTTCGAATTCTTGCTTTTGTTTATTTGATTTGATTTGATTTGATTTTTTTTTTTTTCGAAACACTCCACAATATATAATAATGAACAAAAGGTTATTTTCATTCTTGAAATCATTTATTCCATATAAAAATAATTTTTATAAACAAGATAATCATTTTCTTAATCGGTTAACACCTTTATACCAGCAGACTTTAATCAAAAATGTTCATACAAAACAGGATTATTTGTCAAGATTTATTAAAATGATGAGGATAGATACCAAAAAAGAAATGCAAGAAGGGGAGCAGGAGAAGAGTGAAAAAATTCGAGTGAATAAGGAAAGGCAAGAGGAGGATGGTATATTTAAAAAGTTGCAGAGGAAGACTAAGGTAGAATCACAAAAAAAATCGCAGAAGGGGGGGCGGACAAAGCATAACGACTTGGAAAGTTTTTTATCAACAAAAGATTTAAATACGAAAACAAATGTTTATAGAGGTACATTGTATGAATATGAAACGATATCATGCCTAAAAAATTATTTTGGAATCTTAACAAGAAGAGTAGGAGGCACAAATGATTCTGGGATCGATTTTAGGGGTAGATGGACTTTACCGAATAATCAAAAGTTAAATATAATAGGTCAATGTAAAAATAATTCAGTGAAATGCTCACCAATTTCAGTTAGGGAGTTGGAAGGTGTTTTATGCACCGAGACCAAAAATACTCTAGGTATATTATCCTCAAAATCTGGTTTTGGTAAGGCTGCTATCTCGAGATTTAATTCCTCTCCTTATCCATTGATCTTAGTTTGCGTGTTAAATGACGGTAAAAACTGTGAGATATTTACTTGGAATAAAACTTGCGAGAAAATTTTAGACAGTTTACAAGTTACTCGGAGGTTTTATAATGCGAAAGGTGATATTTCTGATGATATTATGAATCACAAGCCTATTTTATTATATGATGGAAAGCCTTTTATTCCTAATTTTCAAGAATAGTATTGGTGGATGATTAGATTGATTTCTTTTTTTACATTATTGTGGATTATTTGGTAGAATTCCTTGAACATATCATGCTTATATTAGGTTGTAATAAAGATATGCGTACTCATTTAATAGAAGGATGAATGTAAATATTATAGGTACAATTTTATTAAATGAGAGGATTATTAATTTGGAATGCACATTAAACATGTTTAAATGAATATTTGAATCCTTTCTTTCTACACGGTTTTATATATTGATCCAAATTGACATTTCTTTTTAGCAAGGTTTACAAATCAATATTTGTCGAATGCACCACCAAATATCTTATATCTCTTAAGAAATCTTAGTAATATTTTCTGTCACGGATGGTATTATTTATTTCCTTTTCAAAATTTTACAAATTTAGTGTTGGCACCTTTATGGAATCAAAGATTAAAGATTGTATTTCTGAGCGACAAGATAAGTACAAGTTTCAGGTGCTTTACACGAATACTAAAAAAAGATATATTATGGCAGGAAAGAGGAAAGTTTTATGTGAAATAGAAACTTAATTCCAGATTGAACGAGGGAATGTGATGATCATCCGAATTTAGTGAACTATTTATTTGTACTTCCAAAAGAAGATCTTTACAAAAAGATCACAGACAAATTTCAAATTTAAATAGAGATATTTCTGCCCATTTAAAGGCTATACTAAATTTTATTTATTCATTCGGAAATACGAAATAAAAGTAGGTATTTTCTAAATTGATTTCGTCCCATTTTTTAGGTTATATATTTCATGTTTCATCACAATATCAAAAAAAAAAATTGATGATGTATTCTTTTTGATGCTTCTTAATTTCTAATTGTCATACCAATAAATAAATACAAAAGTAGATTTTTTGTTATTTACACCGCCCCTGTAAAATTTTTTTTTTTTCTCTGTGTTCCTCTATAGGGGGGGTTTTTGCCGATCTTGTTAGAAATTTGCGATGACAGTGAAAACGAATTAATTCTCTTTTTTTTTTTTTTTTTTTTTTTTTGTATGTTATCATTTGAAGTTTTTTTCACTTTTGTTTAAAAAATTGTCAACCAATTTTACTTTTTTGATTATCATCCGAACCATTTAATGATTTTTTTTTTTTTTTCGCTTAGCGTTTATTCAAGTTAAACCCAGAAAATTAGCCGTGATTTGTTACTTGCATCGTGATAACTTTGTAGATATCACAAATTTATAAACTTGGTAATCATCTATGCATATTTAGTTTGGACCACAACTGAACTAAAACGTTGTGGCAAATTAAAAAAAAAAATTTCTCCCTTATTATTCTTATTCTTACTCTTAATATTAATAATAATTTTCCTTGCCTAACTGCTGCTGACATTTCCTCGACTTTGTTAGTATCTTTTGTCTTTACGTGTTGCCTATCACTTTTGTAATGGCAACTTTGCGGCAGAAATGGGCTATTCACAAAAATTATCGCAAAATTCAAACTTGTTGGCATGAGTATCGTTCCGTCTCGGATAAAGAGTAAGTTTATTATTCTTGATATTTGATCATATCAGAGAATGAATTTTAAGTACGGTTGAAATAATGAATTTATTGAATCAATCGCTCGATATTCCGCTACCAATGCACCGAAATATTGCTTACTATAATCAAATTTATTGAATTAGATTAATAATTGAGCGGTTTTTAAGATATTTTAGTAATAAAGGTGCAACTTTGGGGTATATGCGCATTGAAATCATTACTTTTGAAACAAAAATAATCAATTCTTAATTTAATATAGTGATGTTCAATTAATGATTCAAAAACTTGAAAATTTTCTCGACATTTTTCAAGAAGCGTACAAAGAATGGAGTGCATCTGGAATTATTATACCAACCGATTTCTCATTGGACAAATTATACGGTGACTGCTCAGAAGTATTAGTGAATTTACTAAATACTATTGATCGGTAATATATAATATATATATGTATATACATTTTTTCTTTTGTTTAATTTAAAAAAAAAAACTTAAATTTAATACGTCCGACTTATATTTTTTTTTTTTTTTTTCTTTTTATAAAGGGAAGTTAATAAAGAGAAGCCAGATCCTGGTGTGGAAAGAGTGGCCGATTTAGTTAATAAGGCGTTAAATGTAGCAGAATTAATATTAAAGGTATGGTGAATTTTTTTTTTATGAAATTTAAAAATATTTACTTCTTTAATTATGTTTAAATTGATTTATAAAAAAAAAAAACTTATAGGACGAAAAATATCGGCAATTAGTTGCCAATACACCTAATTTAATTTGTCGAATCTTATTATTATTGGAAAAGTTAAATACAACGGAGGCTAAAAAATTAACTTTGAGAGTTATTAGCACGTTGGGTGAAAATGATTTGAATAAAATTGAGATAGGCAGACATCAAGGTTTCAAAAAAATCTTACGTTTATTAATTGATGATCCTGATTTGACATCGGAAATTGTTAGAACTATAAAACATTTTCTTGAGGTTCGAGATGAAGACATTCAGGTACCTTAAAAAATTTTTTTTTTTCAAAATAATTAAAAACATAATATATCATAAATATTTTTATATTTAAGAACATCTCTAATATTATTTCGTAAACTGGAATGGGACAATTTAGAAAAATGGTCTAAGGATTTCGGATATAAACAAAAAGATATCAAAAAGGCAAAATTATATCAATAGCAATAGGAATGTTGATATAGGCGAGAAATTAAAAGGAGAAAATCTATTCTCTCAATATGATTCTTTTGATAGTGATTTCAATGAAGAAGAAAGGGATAATGTGAATACTTTCTTTGGTAGTTTTGTTGGAGGAAAAGTTTCAAGCATGGTTGCTGAAATACGTGAATTAGTATTTACTGAGCTTGGTAGAGTTTTTCCAAATTTGCATGCACTTGCGAGTGAAATTTTGGTCAATCATAGCGATAGTCTTAATGACAAAAGGAAGTTAGGTTCTGACAGAAGGTATGATTATGTATATGTGTATATATATATACATTTCTTTTTCTTTTATTATAAAAAAAAAACTCATTCATTTATTTTTTTAAAAAAAAATTTAGAATTTGTCCCTTCATACCCACATCAGATAAAATCAAATCTACAATACCTCG